TATATAACTGTGTTCTCTCTTTCTCTCTCTCCTCTGACCTCCTCTCCAAATATCTTAATATTTTCAGACTGCAGTTGACCACTGGTAATGGAAGCTGCAGGAGTGAAACCACATAAGCAATACCTTGGATATGCTACTATGTATCCCAGGAAGAGCCAAACACTCTCAGTTTTTATTTAGCCGCTCTTATTCCAACGATTTTGTTTTATTTGCAGAGAACAAAATGCAAAAGGAAATACTCAGTGCTAGAAAATAACCCCCTAGGGTATACCAATGAACTCTTTGCCTAAAAATAAACTCAATTTGGCAAGAGCCACCTGCTGTTTCTTATAAAGCGGTTGGGGGAAACACAAATCCTGAGGCCTCGGGGACTTGTTCTCTTTCACTCCTGTTTCCAATTCTCCACACACTCTCTATTTTAAAATCAACAGCACTGAAGCATACTTTACATACAATAAAAAGGACATATTTGAGATGTAGAGTTCTATGAATTTTGACCAGTTTATAGACCCATTTAAACATCATTCCCAATGAAGACGGAGAATGTTTCTCTCACGTCAGAGAGTTTGCTCAAGAGCCTTTTATAGTAAATCGCCTCTGACTCCACAATCCAAGCAGTTGCTGACATGATTATCTATCGCTATAGTTTCGCCTATTTTAGAATTTCAAGCAAAAGGACCCTGCTTTCCTTTTAGCTTCCTTTTTTACTCAGCATAATGCTTTTGAGTTTCAGCCATGTCATCATTGTGTGTATCACTAATTTGTTCTTTTTCATTCCTATAAAGTATTCATTGTGCAAATATATCACTCTTTCATGCCTTTACCTTTCGCAAGCCCATTTGGTGGTTTCCAGTTTGGGGTTATTATGAGAAATGCTGCTATAAAATATTGGTGTACAAGGCTTGTTAGGAACATACAGTTTTATTTCTCTTTGAATCATATAATTGCTAGACTCTATAGAAAATGCGCGTTTAACTTTGTAGGAAAGCCCCAAACCCCTTTTGAAAGTAGTTGCAAAACGTGAGGGTTGAAATAGCACCGCATCCTTCATCACTGCCTTCTTCCAGCCAATCCTCAGGCAGCCACAGGTCTGCTTTCTGTTCCTGTAGACAAAGTTTCATTCTGTAGAATTCTTTGAACTGAATCACACCCTGTGTACATGTTTTTGGTCTGGCTTCTTACACAGCATAGTTTTGAGGTTCACTCGTATTTAATAGTTACCAATGTTTTGTTCCTTTTCATTGCTGAGAAGTACACCATTGTGTGGATATGCCACAATTCCTTTATTCACTCACCTGTTGATGGACATTTCAGTTATTTCCAGTCTTTGGCTATTACAGGTAATGTTGCTGTAAGCTTTTATTTAGAAGTAATTGTGTGGTCGTAAGCTTTTATTTTTCTTGGATAAGTGCTTAGAAGAATAGCTGGGTTATGTGGTATTATATGCACATGATTGACTTTTTAAGAAACTGCTATATTGTTTTCCAAAGGGGTTATGCAATGTTGCACTTCCACCAGCAGTAAGTACGAGCTGTTTACTATGTTTACCAGTATTTGGCATGACTTATCCTTAGCTTTAGGCATTCTGGTGGGTACATGATATTGTCTCGTTAAGACTTTAGTTTGAATTTTCCCAGGGTTAATGATGTAGTGTATCTTTTTAGTTGCTTATTTGCCATCTACTTATCTCTTTGTGTGAATTGCCTGCTGAAAACTTTTGCTTTCTTTTAAAATTTAGGGCATCTGTCTTCTTGTTATTGAGTTGTAAGATTTTCTTACATTTTTAAGATATAAACCATTTGATAGATATATGTTTTATAAATATTTTCTCCCAGCCTCTTTATTTTTGTAATGATATATTTTGAGGAGCAAATGTTTTTCTTTATGATGAAGTCCAATTTGTCAATTTTCATTTATGAATCGAGTTGTTGTTGTTATTTTTAAGCAATATTTCCCTAATGCAAGAAGGCAACAATTTTCACCTACATCACTTTCTAAAAACATTGTAGTCTTAGATTTTGCATTTAGGTCTGTAGTCCATTTTGATTCATTTTGTGTGGCATGGGATATGAGTCAAGGTTCACTTTTTTCCATCTGGATTTCCACTTGTTTCAGAAACTTTTATTGAAAAGGCTATCGTGTTTCATTGAATTGTTTGTGCACCATTTTTGAAAATCAGCTGATCATAAACATATGGCTCTAGTTGCATTCCATATTCTGTCCCATTCATTTATTATAATTCACTGGTTTTTATTAATCCCATATTGTCTTAATTATCATAGCTTTATTTTTCTTTACTCCTTTAAAGTTTTTTTCTATGACTTTTTTTTTTTTTTGGATATATACCCTGTAGTGCTGGGCCGTATGGTAGCTCTATATTTAATTTTTTGAGGAAACTCCACACTGTTTTCCGTAAAGACTGTACTAATTTACATTACCACCGGCAGTACATAACACCTCCCTTTTCTCCACATACTCACCAGCATTTGCTATTTTGTGTTTGGTAATAGCCATTTGAACTAGGATAAGGTGATACTTCATTGTAGTTTTTTTTTAATTTTTTAACTTTTTTATTGCATTTTAGGTTTTGGGGTACATGTGAAGAACATGCAAGATAGTTGCATAGGTACACACATGGCAGTGTGTTTTGCTGCCTTCCTCCCCTTCACCCACATTTGGCATTTCTCCCCAGGCTATCCCTCCCCAGCTCCCCGACCCCACTGTCCCTCCCCTATTCCCCCAATAGACCCCAGTGTGTAGTACTCCCTTCCCTGTGTCCATGTGTTCTTAATTTTTAATCACCCGCCTATAAGTGAGAATATGTGGTATTTTATTTTCTGTTCTTATGTCAGTTTGCTGAGAATGATGTTCTCCAGATTCATCCATGTCCCTACAAAGGACACGAACTCATCATTTTTGATTGCTGCATGATATTCCATGGTGTATATGTGCCACATTTTCCCAGTCCAGTCTATCATCGATAGGCATTTGGGTTGGTTCCAGGTCTTTGCTATTGTAAACAGTGCTGCAATGAACATTCGTGTGCATGTGTCCTTACAGTAGAATGATTTATAGTCCTTTGGATATATACCCAGTAATGGGATTGCTGGGTCAAATGGAATTTCTATTTCTAAGGCCTTGAGGAATCGCCACACTGTCTTCCACAATGGTTGAACTAATTTACACTCCCACCAACAGTGTAAAAGTGTTCCTATTTCTCCACATCCTCTCCAGCATCTGTTGTCTCCAGATTTTTTAATGATCGCCATTCTAACTGGCGTGAGATGGTATCTCAATGTGGTTTTGATTTGCATCTCTCTAATGATCAGTGATGATGAGCATTTTTTCATATGTTTGTTGGCCTCCCGTGTGTTTTTATTTGCATCCCCCTGATAATTAGTAATGATGAGGAATTTTTCATATATCTTTTGGCCATTTGAATGTCTTCTCTTGAGGAATGTCTATTCAGGATTTTGCCCATTTTTAAGTTGGATTACTTGGGGGTTTTTGTTATTGAGTTATCTGAGTTTTTTATATAGTCTAGGTATTAATCGCTGCCACATTGGGGCTTAAATTTCAACATGAGTTTTAGTGAGAAAAAAACAAACTATATCCAAATCATAGCAAGGGCAATAACATTAAAGTGTACAGTTTGTTTTTGTTACTTTTATTTATGACAAAAATTAATTCATCAGTTTAAAATATCCTGCTATAAGATTTTTTTGGTAAGCCCCATCCTAACTGCAAAGCACGTGTGGAGTCTGCACTTGGATTGGTGCACTCCCCTGAGTTCTGACAAGGAGGCTTCTTGCTCCATTCAAATGTTACAAAGTTCAGCTAGAGATTTCCTTCTCTCTGGGTAGTTTTACCCTGTGCTCCTCTCCACTGAATCCCTGTGGTGTCAGGCGAAAATGGCCTGTTGGGGGCGACCCAGCGAGCTCCCATGGCCTTTCTGCTGCTTCCTCTAATCCTGTATTTCACTCAGTTCTCCAAACTGACTCAACTCCAGGTAAAGTCAGAAACTTCTCCCGCAAACAGACCTTCAGCTTCTCCAGTGGGCATGTGTGTTCGGGAGAGGAGGGTCTTTCTTTCCCACTTCCGCAATTGGGGCACTTGCCGTTTGGAGGGATCTCCCAGGTCCTGCAGGAGCAGTCTATCTTCTTCAGAAGGTCTCTGGGTCCTCTCGGGATTGCTGGCTTGTTCTTGCAGTCAATCTGGATCTAAAATTTACAGTGCAAGTCCCTGTATGCTTCTCTGTCCAGAGCTGCAATCTAGTCCTGCTTCCCATCCACCATGATGATCTCAAGGAGGCTTTTAACATAAGACAGAAGGGCAGAGGCAGGGTGTGGTTCATCATGCAGGGAGTTGTGTTACCAGAACTGGAAATAGTGTGTATTACTTCCATCCCGCCTCTTTGACCAGACCCAGTCTACTGGACCAATTAACTCTAAAGAAGGTGGAGAAATATAGGAAAACATGGGTAACTGGTTAAAATTAACAGTCTGTGACACACTATGATCTCAATTTTTAGAAAATCAATCTGCATTTCTATTTAGAAATCTATTTATGACCAATCCAACAATCTATCAATTCATCCATCTATTAATTTATCAAACTGTATTTAAGAGAATGAAAAAAAAACACATCATTATACTCACAGTCCTGTTCTGAATTTTCTAAATTTATTACATTGTAGGTGCACTTATATAATAAGAAAAGAAAGATGTTCCATTTAATTTTGAAAAGAGCAGCCAACACACTTCAGTAATCTTCTAGATTGAGGGGGTGGCTAATTTGAGTTCGCAACATCCTGAGATATGGGCTGTTTGCAAAGAGATACAGCGTGATTACTTTTAACTAGGATCTTGGACCTGCTTTAGTGAATAGGTAGAAATGATTTAAAATTAGCCTAGTAATTGTTTGTATCTAATTGAATACTTCTAACGTGGCTTGAAAACTTTCTTATGTGCTTCCTAATGTCAACTCAATTTTTCTTTTAGTATCACAAATTCTTGAAGGAGAAGAATTCAAATTCATGAGCCTTCATTGTGAACAAATCAAAGTAAATGCACAAACTAAAGCAAAATGAAACTCTAGATGACTGAGAGAAAGGTATGAAACAACAGTAGATATGTCCTGATGTCTAATAAGTGTGATATCCTGAGATAGGCACAAGAATTACACGATTTTAATCCTGTAGGAGTTCACAGACACATTGTTTCTTCTAACTCATGTAAACAAAGGGGTGAGACCCTAATACCCGTCCCAAGTCAGAGACTCAAGGACACCTCTTATTCTCATTTTATCAACCCAGGAGAGTTCCATGGAGGAAATTACGCATGTGTTTCTGCCTCATCTAAGAGCATACACTCTCTCAAACCTGCACAGCAGCCACAATGACCTTCCTTGAGCTTTTTCTAATTAATACACAGCCTGCCACCCCAGGGTCTTTGCACATGCTCTCCACTGTGCTGTTATTGGGCTTCTTTCTTCTTTACTTAATTCTTGCTAATATTTCAGATTTCAATTCAATTTCCCTAGCAGAACACCCTGTTTTGACCAAATTCCCATAACATACTCTATGTGTGTTTCAACTACCCATCACAGGAATAACTTTACAAATTTGTTATAAGGTATTTTGATGGATACCTGTTTCCCTCAATTAAAATGTAAGCTTCATGAGAACAGAGTAACTTATCATTTGTTCACCTGTCTTTCTCCAGGGATAAACACTGGACCTGGTGCAGTTCAGGCACTCGGTGAATATGTGGTGAACTCATGTTGACTGAGGATAAACAAAGGATTCAGTCAGAAAATTATAGCACGAAGGTTTTGCAGCTCATGACTCCAGCCTCCCCGCCTCCCCAGTTTTAGCCCATATGCTAACTTGTTTCAAGGAGAAATAACTGAGATACATTATAGGGAATGATCAGGGAAGATGGGGATGCTGTGAGAGTTTAGAGGCTAAAGAGATAAGTCTCAGCTGGAGGAATCAGAGAATGTTGGGTGGGTCATTTGACATCTGAGTGGTCTGTTTTGTAGACATTTGTGGAGATAAGCCATGATGGTCATTGCAAGTATAGGGAGCAGCTTGAGCAAGTACAGGGCATAGGGCTGGGGCTGCAAGTATGGTGGGCAGGCATGTGCAACTGCAAATATACGCGGCTTCTTCTACACTGAAACTGAACAGACTTGGAGGGGGTCAATGGCTGCTCAGGAAGTCGGGCAATCCGGCAAATTAGAGGCAAGATTCTCAGACAGGTCTCCAAGAGAATCGATCTAGTAGACTAATGTTCAACTTCCTATATTTTCCCTGCACACCCACGATGGGTGGCAGTCACATGAGCAAAAGCACATTCTGTCCATTCTGTTAGAGGGAGCTCTCTCTATTGTGCAGGCTGCTGTGTGGATAAGGTGGGCTGCAGGTTATGTGCACCACCTGCTGAGAGAGGTAACCTGACGCCTCTCTCTGCACCTCCCACAATACACCTCTCCGCCACTTGGTAGCATGAGGATCAACCAACCAAAGTGGAAGATAGTTTGAAGACAGTAGTATGAGACCAGCCTGGGCAACATAGCAAGACCCAATTTCTACTAAAAATTAAAAAAAAAAAAAGCCAGGAATTGTGATGCACAGCTGTCATCCTAGCTACTTGGGAGACTGAGATGGGAGGTAATGTAGTTATCATGGGAGATAGGCTGAGATTAAATTAAAAGAGTAGAGATAATTCTAAAGTTCCTTTTGACCAAGAAACTTTAGAATTATCTCTACTGTTTTAATTCATTACAAAGAGAAGATATTCATGTAGAATTTGTGCAATGAGGTTTTAATTTTAGAAAACATACAGACCACATTGGCTTCAAGAACCTGTTTGGAAGCCAGATGCCCTACTCTGTAGACTGAGGCTTGTGTTCAGAGCAAGCAGGTTCCTGGGTGGGGCTGAACCTACAGTATAGAGGTCCATTGACTAGGAAGAGGGGACAGCATAGGCATAGACGAGGAGTCAGCCAGACTTTGTTGGTGAGGGAAGAACGCACATGTGTGAGGTGCTAAGGAGAAAAAAAAGGCCATTTGTGGAGGCAAGGTAGATGTTCTGGACAAGCCTAACAAAATGCCTGCTGGTTATGCCCCCTGTGGTGTTATGATATATTTCAGTTTCCTCCACGGTTCCTGGATCATAGCTCCCATAGCCCTTGTTACAGTCGTGTGTTATAATGTTGGGTGTGTCGAGCTTCAGAGACAGGACTCTGAGTTTCTCCTGACTTCTTTTCACCTGCTTCAAGGCAGGACTCCATGCTTTCCCTACCCTTTTTCATTGTGGGTCTTAAGACCCTCCCCAGAGAGGGTCCCACCCTACACCCAGGAAGAACGGATGCTGAGATCATGAAGCCTCCATAAGAAAACCAAGATAACTGAGTTCAAAGAGCTCCTGGATAGCCCAATATGTGGAATTTCCTGGAGGGTGGTGTGCCCAGGGAGGGCATGGAAGTTCTGCTCCGCTTCCCCTATGCCCCATCCTATGTATATCATCATCTGTGTCTTTTGCGATATCTCTTATAATAAGCCAGTAAACCTGTTTCCCTGAGTTCTGTGAGCTGCTCCAACAAATTCATTGGACCCAAAGAGGGGGCATAGAAACCCCAACTTAAAGCTGGCATGTGAGAAGTTCCAGAGGCCTGGACTTGCCACTGGTGTTCAGGGAGGGCAATCCTGGGTACTGAGACCTTAACCTGTGGGATTTAACACAGTCTCTGGGTAGATAGTGTTGGCACTGAATTAGAGGACACCCAGCTGGTGTCTGCTACTTGCTGTGTAGGGGAAAAAAAACCCACAGAAGTCACAGAAGCCTTCTGTGTTGATGATTATTGCGGTGTGAGAGTACAGCTCCATTATGGAAAGTCTCATTTCTACCATCTCACTTTTTTTCTTTTTTTGAGGTGAGGTCTGGCTCTGCTATCCAGGCGAGAGTACAGAGGCACCATCTCAGCTCACTGCAACTTCTACCTCCTGGGTTCAAGCAATTCTCCTGCCTCAGACTCCCGTGTAGCTGGGACTGCAGGTGCACACCAGTGGCTAACTTTTGTATTTTTAGTAGAGACAGGATTTCACCATGTTGGCCAGGCTGGTCTCTAATTCCTGACCTCAGGTGATCCACCCACTTCAGTTTCCCAAAGTGCTGGGATTACCGCGTCCGTCCTACAGACTTTTTTCTGAAGAACTTCTTATATGAACCACTTGGCCTCTTAGCAGGTGACACAATCCTTTGGGTAGCTGACTGGAACTGGGCTATAACCACCTGACCTCCTAATCTGTTCCACAGAGATGAAAATGCCATCTATTTTCCATGCCAGCAGTCTACAATGGGGCCCAGAATTTTCTGAACCAAGCAAACACTCATCCTTAGGGACATTCAAATGTAGGTTAGAGTGACTGAGTGGCTTATAGAAGCCACCACCTGAAAAGAAGCAAAAGCAATGAGGTAAATAGAGGATGGAAGGGGAAATCCATGAGTAGAGTGAGGCCGGTGCCATGCGAAGGCAGGGGCCATGACTAAGCAAAACCACAATATAGAGATGGAAGCAGAGGCTGAGAACAAACTGGAAACAAAGTCACTCCTTTACCAAAACAGCAGGCCACTGCTGTAGAGAGCAGTGGAGACAGGTATTCAGAACTGTGCTCAGAGCAACTAAGGTTGTATTGCTCTCGAGGTTGACTAGATGTCCTGGATCATTTTACTGCTGCAAGATTGACTAGATGTCCTGGACCTTACAGCAGTGCTTGTCCCACTCACTTCTAATTGCTGCCCAGTCATTTTTGGGTTTCTCACTTTTTTATGTCGTTTTACAGAGAAAGATATAATTGCTAAAATTGTAGGCTTTGAAACCAGATTATCTGAACGTTTCGCCATGACTCTACTAATGTATCCATTGAATTGTTTATATTATGGGTCAGCAAGTTAAAACACTGCAAATTTTCGAGCTTTAAAACAATACAATTGCACTTTAGTGTCTTGAATACACCCACTGAGCATCAGTGGGGAGCTCCATGCTGTCACCCTCACGGGGCTGGTGACATCGCCACCAGCTGGCGCATCTGCAGATGGAGACATCTAAGCATCATGAATTGAGCACTGGCCTTTAGAACTTCCACTACGTGGTGACATATTCCGCCTCTACTCACATTTCTTTGGCTGGAGCACATCACACAGTGCATTGGCTTCCAAAAAAAAAAGCAAAAAGAAAAGAGAGAGGGAAGTGCAATACTTACTATGTCTAGAAAGTGGAAACCCTGGCATATTTGGATGAACTGCACAGATTTGCTATGTGACCTTGAGCAGGTTTCTCACCTTCTCTGTGCCTCGATTTTCTCATCTTCAGGACAAAGGCAACTGTCATACTTCCTAAGTTGTTGTGAGAAATAACTGCAAACGTGTAGAAGTGCTTAGTGTCATTCATGACACATTTGCAATAATTATTGGCTTTATTATAGTTGGAAATTAACCAAACCCTGTTACCTGAACTGATTTGGCTCAAGTTGCCTCCTAGCTTAAACCCATACAGTGAGACATCTCTCCTGAGTATTTGCAAGGGTTAGGTTTTCTCTGATTATGCATCCATCTTTAGGATGTCAGTAAGTTATCTCCAGTAATCTATGGCATTGTAAAAAGTTTCAAGACAGTGAATCTGGAAATGCAGTGAGGAATTTTTGATGGGTCATCTGTTGAGCCAAAGAGAGATGTCGTGTAATTTGGAGAGCCGAAAATTAGACAGAGGACAAGCACAGCAGGAGAAGTGGTTCTGAGAAATGTATCTCTAAAGCTTACCCAGAGCCAGAGATAGAAACCAGGGAAGCTCATGACATGGAAACAGAAGAATAAGCAGGAGGCCGACGAGCAGATGGGAGTTATTTTTAAAAAGAGGCCAGCAAAAAAGTCGTGGGAGGAGGATGCTACAGATAAGAGAGCTCTGGAGCTACAAGTTGGAATACGACATGGGAGTCCTCAAGAGAAAAAGTGTCTATCTGGGTTGAGAAGCTGGACTGTTAGACTGGGAAGATGCCTTCAGATTGCAAGAAGGATGGTCCCAGAAAATGATGTGAAAAATAATTTTCT